ATATATATTTAAATTTAGTAAAATAGTAAATATTGGACTTGAAAATTTTAGTACATATATAGTAAAAAGTTCCCCTTAATATTTATTTAAAATAATAGAAAATTATTAAAAAGTAGTATAAAATAGTCATTTTTAAAAGGAAAATCAATTTTCAAATCGCTAGTTAGCGCTAAAATTTCTAGAGTTAGGGGTGTTCATATACAATCCAATCTGATTGATCCAACCTAAATTAATTCAATCCAATCAAAAATTGATTCAAATCGATATAAAATTGGATTGGTTTGAATTCTAAAATTTTAAAACTGATATAATTAGTTTGGTTTGTGTTTTTACCTTCAATCTGCCCAAATTGTCCAATTATAAAATAAAATCTAATTAAAAAATAATTTAATTAAATAGTATAACATATTTTTGTAGTATTTTTGACATTACAATGGATATGCTCTACATATTGAGAAAGTAGCAACACAAAAATTCTGTTCTATACAGTTGCAAAGGAAAGAAACTGTAGAAAGATTTTTTTTATTTTTGCACAGCAAAGGTAATTTATTAAGATTAGTGTGGAAGTACAAGTGGTACTCCACCTATATCATTACACAAGAACAGAGAAGAAATAGCCTACACTTGTTACTCCTACCTTTCAAACTATTCTTTTCCCATGCTTACTCTTAAACATCCGTAAGACAAGCTATAGGATTACACAACCAATTTGAAAGATAAAAGTGACAACCAGCTATTCTAGATTTAATCCAAAAAAAGGATCTTAATTGAATTAATTCCAGCAACTTACCCATGTTTGTTTCCTGGGCTTGAAATATCTTTCTATTCCGCAAAAGCCATATTGAAACTGTAGAAAGATTTACCAAGAATTAAGTCCCTAACTACTCCAACAGACATGAGCTGCTTTGGCTTTTGTTATGAATTCTTGAGAATGTGTCAATTAGCATCACGAGTCAAGCCTGCAATAGCTCATATATTCTTTCATAAATTTTGAACAACAGCTTCTTTTTTTCACGTGATGCTTTATAGTCATGGTTGATGCATTTCTATATAAGATCCCTCATCTGTTTGACAGAGGTGTTATGAAGTTGCTTTCCAAGGAATAAAAACAGCCAGTTCACACCTTCATAGTCCACTTCCTTCGAAACAATTGGTATGGTCCACTGCCTTTTGCAATCTGTCCACTTACGATTGCTTAACATTCGAGTTCCCAACATCTCTGGACCAACTTCTTCCCTGTTTCTATCCAGAAAAGGGAGTATATCTTGATATTTCTCTTGGAAAGAAAATGTCATGATGTAATCCTTTTTGCATTCCACATAGCGGACTTCTCCACTAACCTCTCCAATTTGTCCTGATCTCAGACCATTAATCATGTCAAAGACAGGAAGAAAAACATGAGCTGCAATTGGTACTGCTGCTTGTGCTTCTGTCATATCAACAAGAGGACCTGTTTCTTGTTCTGATGAGAAAATATAATCCTGGGGTTGATCCTCCTTAAAGACTCCCTTGCCATACTTGGCCAATGACAACTGCAAGTATGAAACCAACCTTGTAAGGTTAGCTAAGATAGAAAACAGTTAACAGAACATGCCTGACACACCAAACAACTAATATTTAAAAAAACAAAACAAATTCCTACCAAAGATATTCCATAACTAATGTATTAGAAAGAAACACATCATTATTATTATTATTATTTTCATTTTACTGATAAAAAATATATTAAAATAACAGCCAACCTTGTCTTGCAAAATAAATAAATAACAAATAATTCACAATCTGACGGTGCAAATATGAGTGAATGTCCAACAGTGGGGATGCTTTGCGACTTCAAGAGAGACACTTTATTAATTTTTTTCGTTCAATTTATAAACACTATGTGAGAAGATATTATTGCACATTGAAGGCAGATTGGTGCAAAGCTAAAAAAAAAAATAAAAAAACTAGCAAACAAACCTTCAATGCAACAAACATCATGGATCAAAAGCTTACAGAACCATCCGCACTACAGAAAGTAAAACAGTCCAACCACTCAGCCTTTCAGAGTTACCAATCCCAAACAAAATTTGATATGGTTTCTAAAATTTTAATTTGAATTATATCTTGAGCTAGATTTAAATCTATATTCAT